ATATATATATATATATATATATATATATATATATATATATATATATATATATATATATATAGTTATACAGTTATATAATGAACATGGGTTTAAAGTGCACACTCTGAGCTTTCATTTTGGTATTCTCATCACAATTAGAGGAAAGGTTAAGGAATTACAGCTCTTTAATATGTCAAATCAAGTCAAGATTATTTTTATAGTGCTTTTTACAGTGCAGATTGTGTCCAAGCAGCTTTACAGTATTAAACGGAAATAGTGTGTCGAAATAGTGTTCCATTATCCTCTGGCCAGACGAAACCAGCAGTTTAATTCTAGACTGCAACAAAATCAGATTGTGCAGAGGACTCATCTGGTTCCCATGGTCTTGTCCCGATGGCCGTAGGGACCATAAGTATTTGGACAGTTGACTCAAAAGCCATTTCATGGACAGATGTGGGCTATTCCTTCGTTATTTCTACATCAATTAAGCAGGTAAAAGGTCTGAAGTTGATTCTACATGTGCCATTTGCATTTGGAAGCTGTTGCTGTGAACCCACATCATGCGGTCAAAGGAGCTCTCCACGCAAGTGAAACAGACAATTGTTAGGCTTCAAAAACAAAACAAATCCATCAGAGAGATAGCAGGAACATTAGGAGTGGCCAAAACAACAGTTTGGAACATTCTGAGAAAAAAAAAAGAACACACTGGTGAGCTCAGCAACATAAAAAGGCCTGGATGTCCACGGAAGTCAACAGTGGTGGATGATCGGAGGATCCTCTCCATGGTAAAGAAAAATCCTTTCACAACATCCAGCCAAGAGAAGAACACTCTCCAGGAGGTAGGTGTGTCACTGTCAAAGTCTACAATCAAGAGAAGACTTCACGAGAACAAATACAGTGGGTTCACCACAAGGTGCAAACAAGGCCTGGTTAGACTTTGCCAAAAAAAAACATCTAAAAAAAATCACTGTCAAAGTCTACAATCAAGAGAAGACTTCACGAGAACAAATACAGTGGGTTCACCACAAGGTGCAAACAAGGCCTGATTAGACTTTGCCAAAAAAAAACATCTAAAAAAAACAAACTACTTCTGGAAAAGCATTCTTTGGACGGCTGAAATTAAGATCAAACTGTACCAGAATGACGGGAAGAAAAAAGTATGGAGAAGGCTTGGAACAGCTCATGATCCAAAGCATACAACATCATCTGTGAAACATGGTTGAGTGGTGTGATGGCATGAGCATGCATGGCTTCCAGTGGCACTGAGTTACTGGTGTTTAGTGATGACGTGACAGAAGACAGAAGCAGCCGGTAGAATTCTGAAGTGTGTAGGGATATACTCTCTGCCCAGAGATTCAGTCAAATGCAGCAAAGTTGAATGGACAGCGCTTTATAGTACAAATGGATAATGACCCAAAACAAACAGCAAAAGCAACCCAGGAGTTTTTGAAGGTAAAAAAGATGATTAATCTGCAATGGCCAAGTCAATCTCCTGATCTCAACCCGATTGAGCATGCATTTCACTTGCTGAAGACCAAACTAAAGGCAGAAAGACCCACAAACAAACCCAGTCTTTGCTGATGTCCATGAGTTCCAAAGGATTCTCAACAAAATATTAAAAATTAACATTATATTTATTTGTCCAATTACATTTGAGCCCCTGAAAATGGGGGGACTGTGTGTAAAAATGGTTGTAATTCCTAAGCTTTTTATGTTATATTTTTGTTTTATTGCTATATAAAGGAAACGCAGCAAATACACAGTGTTGTAAATGTAAATTGGTGGCTCAACAAAAGGATAATGCATTATAAAAATATAAACAATTAAGACTTAAGAATTAAATGTATTTATTAGAGCTGTCAAAAGATTAATCGTGATTAATCGCATCCAAAATAAAAGTTTTTGTTTGCATAATATATGTGTATACTGTGTATATTTATTATGTATATATAAATACAAACACATGCATGTATATATTTAAGAAAATATGTTGTTTATATATTAAATATATTTATGTGTAATATAAAATACAAGAATATAAATGTATATGTAAATATTTCCAAAATATATACTGTATGTGTGTGTATATTTATATATGCATAATAAATATACACAGTACACATACTTATATTATGTAAACAAAAACTTTTATTTTGGATGCGTTTAATCGTGAATAATCGTTTGACAGCACTAGTATTTATATGTTATTTAATAATAATAATAATAATAATAAATGTTTAAATTAATATAATAATTGATACCTTTGACTCACCCATTTTCTTAAAAATGGTTTAAAGGCTGAAATAAAGTTCATTTTATAAAACATTTTGTTTTTGTGAAAACCTGTATCTTGGCTGTAAATCATGGTTTTTACAGTCATTTTTATAGTGTAACATGTTACCATTGCCCTACCCTGCTCATATGGTATTAGTTTTACTTGTTCAGGTCTTAAAAAAAGTCTTAAATTTGAGTTTAAAAATCCTGCAGATACCCTGATATACATACACTAAATCCCAAAATGTTGGTCTTCTCAGACTTCAATGGGCAGAAAAGAGATTTTAAAGGAATTTAAAATTCTGAGCACTTTTCTGATTCTGCACTTACTTTCCTTTTGGTCCTTTACTTCAGGTAGAGGGGTGGCATCTTTAAACCAGATAATACGAGGCTGAGGGTAAGCATTCCTACTGATGCACTTGCCCACCTAAACAAACATACCACACACACTGGATATTGTTACACAATTTCTGATTTTCTAACTCCATTAAGTCATTGTAACCTTGCACAAAATGAATTTACATTTAAAGGCTCACAGCTATCATATACAGCTATGAACATATGCGAGACTCACCTCAGAGGAGGTGTCAGTTTCGGGAGTGACGGTAATAGCCTGATTATTTCCTGTGATCGTTGGCTTCTCTGGAGCAACTGTGATAGGAAAAGAAAAGTTCATTAATAACTTAAATCAAGTCAGAAATATGGTTTCCTAAACAATTGGCCATATAAATACAAACACACTGAGGGGAAAAGTCACTGAAAGAATCATGACAGGCTCTTTTAAATAATTTGCCTACACTACACTGAATGTATACCCAGGATGCCTAGCTATAATGCTCCTCTTCATCATTTAATCATTATTTTATGAATAACTGCTGCCACGATCAATAGAGATACAAAGAAAATTATTTTAAATAAAATCCAGTTTACCACCTGCTGTCTGTGGGCGGTAATAGCATAACATTAAATGTGCCAGGCAAAATGTGCTGAATTTTGTGAAAAAGGCACAATATTGCACATGAAGCTCTTTGGCTCTTATAACCCTATAAAATGACATCCATCAAACATGACAAGTGCAATCACTCTATTAATCAATAATGTCAAATGCAATCTGTACAGCCATAATTGACCCAGGGCAAACTCATAAACAACACCCAAGACTAATGAATAAGGGTAAAAGTGGTTGGCCATATGTCTCATTTAGTTTATGGAAATCGTAGAGGAGTGGACAAAAGTGCTCAAACGAAACATGCTCAGCTAATAAGGAGGGAATAAATATGATATGTATTCATTTTCAGTCAGACTTACAGAAAACCTTGACCTGGGTCTTATCTTCAGAGAACCCTACAGCTCCTGCGGTCACTTGGCAGATGTAGATTCTCTCATCTTCCACCATGACTGGGGAGATGGTGATGGACAGGTCGTCTTCCATGGATAACCGATCTGTCATTGTTGTGCCTGGATCAACACCAATACCTTGTGGAGACTTGAAAGCAATTTGTTTTCTTGCACCTGCAACCTCCTGAGGATGACGGAAACACATATACATCAATGTAGCACAGCATTTTACATGAAGAAATGCAAAACAAAAAAAGATATCATATGAAAAAAGTGCTATTTTCTCATAATATAAAGTAATTTGTGTACTTACAATCAACCATTGGACCACAATAGCAGAGGCTGATGCAGAGGTGGTGTAGCTGCAATGCAGTTTGGCAGTCTCTCCTTTAATCACTTCCACCTCTGGAGTCACCTTGACTGTGACTGAAGCCAGACATACTGTAAAGAAAAGGGAAAAGAGACAAAAAAAAGTACATGTGTAATAGCAATGATGGCTATTTTACTTGACAATTGGACTTGGTTTTGGCGGGAAGGATCGAGGGCTGGAAAGGTGGCAGTGAACAACACTCATAATAATTTGCCAGACGGCTTTTCACTGCAGCAGCCTCGGTGTCACACACAGTGAGAAATGATCCACACGCTGTGAGTCTGAAACAGCCATTGTGTTCCCGCTGCCTCCAAACACGAAGCCCAGCTGCACAGAACCAGGTGCAAGAGAGAAAGAAAAAAGACTGTCGATAACCCTTTGCTCTCGTGAAATTGGGTAGTAGGAGCGTATTAGGGAGTCCACAGTGGGACTGGGTGATATATTTTATAATTCAATATATTTTCAATGATTTTGAAGGCAACAAATTTGGAAACATCATGAATATTTAACAGAATTGAATGCATCTTTTATTTCTCCATCAAGTTTTTTTGTGAGTGTGTGTGACTTGCGATATATGTCATGTAAAGATATTTTAAAGTGTCTACATTTGCGAAGTTCAAAAGAAGAAAAATCTTCTGTTAAAACACTTTTGAAGCATAAATGTTTTAACTACCACTTTTGATCAATTAATGCATCCACGCTGAAGAAAAAAAATCTTACTGAGCCCAAACATTTGAAGAGTAGTGTAGATGAGCACATGTAAAGGAAAATTATTAAATATAATTTTTCTTTGTGTTCATTTAGTAGTATATATAAAATTATATGAAAAACATGCCTTGACAGACATTCACACTGAGAGGAGACTGTACACACACACATCCAGTATTTATGAAGCGCATCAGGTCGCCACACTGCATTCTGAAAACTCAAGGCAGTTTTCAGACGGATGGATCATTTTAGTACCGCCAATTTTTGGCAAGAGAGTTACAGACAGAACTGGGCCAGTCAACTTCAGAAAGACGGAGAGCTGGCACAGTCAAAGGCTGCTGATGTACCATCCGCCTGAAGTTCTGACCCAAAGTGAATACTGTCCCTCACACACACAGTTGGAGAACAGACGCCGCTGTGAAAATAGTCACTTCAACTTTTAATGTCTTTTCTATTTTTTTCTCTTCTTACTTTTAGTTTTTGTTGCATATCTTAAAAAAAGAGAAAGAAAAAATCACTATGTCTCTTGTTATACAACACTTCTTGTCCTTGTTTGTGTTCCACACAAGACTGTCAGTCTGTATATTAGTGGTGGTTATTCTTCAATGACACTTTCCACAGGTTACATCATTACGTCAGTAGGTGTTGACAAGTGAACCTGAATCATTCATTCAAAGGACTCAATGAGTCAATGAGTCAATCATTGAATGATTCAGTCAACGGATTTGATACAATTTAAATTCACCATTAGAAATATATACAATTCTTTTTTATTTAACAGAATGTTACAATGTTTGATTTAAATGATTTATCCATGCACATCATCATTATTTTTTTTTATTCACATGCCCTCTAATCCCTACTCAAAACATTAACATTTACTTCAGATTTTAGTAGCAACATGTCTCTTTTTGTTTTGTAAATGCAAGCTTTAAACTGTAAAATTTACAGGATTTTCTGTAAGCATGTTTACATTTTTATTGTATTTTTACAGAATTATTCTGGCAACCACAGCTGCCAGTTTATTCTATAAAATTTTTTTTTTTTTTTACAGTGTACTATCCTTTAAAGCAAAAGGTTTATACACTAAATAGTGATGAATACCGTTTGCACTAAGTGTACAAAAGCAAGAAATAGCACCTTGTTTATACTAAGTGCAAATATTAATGTTATTCACACAAAGTGTAAATTTAAACATTTAGCACTATGGATAAATTGTCTAAGTAATAGTGAGTGAGTCAGTGCCAACAATGTACCCTCCCCTCTCCTTTATAACCTGCTTTTATGAACGTTCTGGCTGGTGCCACACAAGCTCATACAGAGGGACTGATGTATTATACAGATGAATGGTGTGTATACAGTACCTTTCCACTGAGCGGACATACTGTACACTCACACAGACATACAAACACACACAGATCTGACAGGCGGAAAGGTGATCGCTCCCTCATGGCCAACAGCTTCAAATGTAAACTAAATTTTCTATTAACACCCTGTCATCATCAGTCCTTTCTCTGAGTGCTCAAACAACAGAAGCAGTGGTTATTGCACGTGCTCCGAATGCTAGTCAAATGGGCAAAGCATGTTTGAGTCTGGCTCGTAACATCTGCTTTGCAAAATCCTAGTCCCTCATTATTTCAAAATAGCCAATAGATAAAAAAAACAAAGTATCTCACACTCCTTAAAGCTATGCTGTGGGGAAAAAACGATGAATTAACAATGGATGAGTTTAATAGTACTGTATGTTTGGATGCTCCACACAGAGGTTATGAACTATGAGAGAGAATAGTTTGTCTTGTGAGAGCGCATTTGAAATGTGGTGTTTGTGTGCGTGTGTGGTTAGAAACGGAACCAAAGACTGTCAAAGGAGCCCTGTGGCTGATCTTACTGATAGTAGAAAAAAGTCACATAAACAGAAACATTGCTGCCCACAAACTACATTATAAACAAAAGATGAGCTAATAATCTGTCCTCCTAACACTGCTTTCAAAGCGTCTTCACTCTGCTAGTTTTTCTATATCTGCTTGGCCACTTTCAGTATGCTTCTATTTTCATAATAAATCTTGACCTTTAACGCCTTTCATTTTTATTGACAACCTTTATTACTATCAGTCCTCAAAATAACCTCCCTGTTCAGAGGAGACTGAATGGATGAACTTGTCTATCTAACTGCTTGTGACAGTAGGTCAGCACAGCTGAGCAGTTTCATTAAATCCAAAGTTTCTGTATAAAAACTGCCTCTGCTTGTAATTTACACAACCGGAGAACACAACCAACACCAGGCTGAAATCAACCATTGAGAGCAGTCGTGATTTTATGCACAGCAAAAAAAAAAAAAAAAAAAAAATCTAATTTAAATACAACTTTCTTAATCAGTACATTGACTTTTTCTGGTGAACATATGTTAAAAAAAGGATAAATTCACTTGAGAAGCAAAACTGCATAAGATATTACCTTTAACATTTCAGAAAAAAAATTCTGAGAATTTATTATGAATTAAACTTTCATTTTTTTCATACCCTACTGGTATACTTTTTTTCTTAAGCATAAATCTATCTAAATGTACTCAGATTTCTGCTTTTAAATTCTCTAATAAGCTCTGGTTTAACTTTAAACTTCATTAATAATTGCTTATAAAAGCAGATGTATACTTTTACCCATAGAATTTTAATTACCGTAAGTAACTTTAACTGCTTTAAGTTTTTTTTTTTTAATACCTCGAGTATGGCTTCTGGATACTAACTCAAGCAGACAGATGCTTATATATAAATGAAATACAGAAATACATTCAGACAGAAACCGTGCATGTATATTCATGAGAAAACAACCACCCACACACATGTACACAAACAAGAAAAGTATTAACCTTGCTGATTTTTTTGTGGAGGGCTGTAATTTTCGGTGATGATGTGCTGAACATTATTGCTATGGCAACAGGGAAGCAGGACTGCCGGTGGAATACAAGTAAGTGAGGGAAGTGGGAATATCAGTAGTTACAGCTGGATGACATTCACTACTGCAGATGCTGACAGCAGATGTCAAGACTTACATTTCAGTCCCTTTGGGTTATTGTATGTATTCATAAGACTTAAGATTTAGACTACCTTTCTGCAATGTTGTTACTTTTGTTAACTAAAACAAACTAATAAAAGTTGTTTTCGTTGTTAAAATGAAGCAGAGATTAAATAAATCTAAATATTAGAAGAAAACTTAAACCTAAATCAAAATGCGAAATGTTGCTTTGACAACTAACTGAAATAAGTTTATATTTCAGTAAAAATAAATTACAAAAATTATTAAAATGTAAATAAAATAAAGTTAAATAAATATATTCAAACGTTAATAAAGGCACATAACAAATGGCACATAACAAATTACTAAAACTTAAACTAAAAATAAAAAAATACTCAAAATATAAAGATATCTACTTTATTAGTATTAATAAACACCTAATAGAGCAATACATGAATAAGTCTAAAATAAATAAATAAAAGGTGTTTTTTTTCATATTTGAGCTTGACATTTTCATCATATGGAAAAGTGGCCTGTAGTTTCTTCAGCATTTTAAGAATATCTTGTGGATTTAGAACAACCATGGTGAAGTGTTCTTTTTTTTCCACCATAAAAGTGTAAAATAAAAACAAAACCGGTTTATATAATCATATTCAGCATGCAGACTCCCAGGATTTCATCAGGACAGGAAGTGGGTGGCAAATTTAGAACTACCTTCCTGACATCTTCAAATAAGCTGCCAAATACAAAAGGAGCAAACAGTAGATAAAGAAGGCCTGCTGTGAGCATGTGTGTGTGTGTGTTTAATGGATGTGGAGGGTGGAGAGGGGCATGATGGGTCCATGTACGGCCTGACATCAGTCATCACTGCCGTGATGAGACGAGAACAGGTGCAAGAGCACCAACAGCAGCTGCTGGCTCTCTCACACCCTCAGTCACAAGGCAAAGACCAGGGCGAGCAGAAAAAGACAGACAGACATACACATAAAGAATAAGAAGTGAAACTGGGGTTGAGTAATAATATGACATAAATGTAGCAGGAAATGGCTAAAAGCAAAAAGACTCAACGGAAAATTGGAAAAGTCAACTTTTGTTTAGTCTACCAATTGGTTGATCGTAGCTTAGTAATACTAAAACAATAAAGTTTTTCCATTTCCCCCATAGTCATCTATTAGACCCACAAACTAAAACAAAGTGAAACCATGTGAACTTCAGTTACCCTAGTCAGGCCTTCAGAGCATTGTTAGCGTCTCCATACACTTCTTGAAGTGTGTGAACCAGTGACAAACAACAAATGCAGACATTATACAACAAAGAAATAGGAGCTTTCTGATTTTCAAGCTTCCATTCT